AAAAAAAAAAAAAAAAAAAAAGGTAGAAAGGATGCTATATTGCACCAAACAAAAAGAACAATAGACTTACTCTCTAGCCCTTTGGAACTGCTCATCCAGTCCCATTATATACAGCGTGTCAAGAGAATCAATTAAAGTTGCTCCAAGACCACCAAAGCTGTCAACACCATTCTTTGTTTGTGGCTGGTGAACATAAATATGAAGAACCAGTCAAATATATGTAAATACAAGACAATTCTAGTGTCATTTATGCTTTTCCTGGTTTCTCTCCCATTAAACAATTGAAAAATGAGAAGATATAGGTCATAGCAAAGATATATGTCGTAGTGCACCCATTCAAAACCAAATCTATGGAGGTTACACTATCATATTCTGATTTTAGAATTCAAAGACAGGGTAACAAGGGGAAAATACATTTGATCTATATCTTATGAGAAAGTACCACAAAAAATAAACTAAAAGAAAGAAAGAAAACAAGTTTGTACCTAACTTAACCCGCCCCTACTGGTAGTTCTTGTGATGAAAATCAAACTAGAAAAAAGCCCAAAAAGTTGTATGCTAGAAGTTACAAATCCGATGAAAATCACCTCCTAAATAACATGAGTAATATTTCAACCAATTGGTCTGTTTCAAACATAGCAGCACCCCAACAATATTGAATACCAAACAGGGTAATGGAAATAAGCAAAATTAAAAATTATAATGAAGCCGCAAATAAAAATAAAAATCATACCTGAAGTTCATCATGACCCCAAGCATATTTCTCATAAGAACTCCAGGCATGAATCATAGCATCTTTAACTTTCTCCCTTCGCTCAATATCAATTGGGTCATCAGAAACATTTGATTTCCTTTTTGCATTGTTACTTTTGCCACTAGTTTTTGCCTGCGATGTAACACTTTTAACATCCTTAACCTCTCCAAGCTGCAGGCACCAATCAAATTATTAATTCACGCTGCTGGAATTTTGATGATGAAATGAAAAAGGAAATGTGTGTTTGATTTCAATCACTGTATTCCCAAAGTTTTGATGAATCCAAACACTAAGTTTCAACAGCCACTAATTTGGGCAAGTGACCAGTTTCAGGTTTTAAGGCTTCATAAAGTTCGAGTGAGATCCAGTCCCAATGTTCATAATCTGATTCTCGATGTCCACGACCAACTACAAACCCTAAATGAAATTTCAGAGTCCCAAACTTGAGTTTCAAACTTATGGACCGATTCTTCCATAGATCTAACTGAATTGATGTGTCGAGATGATTGAGCAATCGAGGTAAGCAAATTAGTCAGCAAATTGGCCATAAAATCTATTTTCAAAACATGCTTCATTTTAGGAAGTCTAATACTGGGTTTCGGAATTAATTTGGCAAGTTCAGACTAATTAGAAGTTTTAGGCCTATGGCAAAGCCAACTTCAAAACATCTGAAATCATCTTAAAGGTCTACAGACAACTTCTTTTTCAGATATTCAACATAAAAATGGCATGAAAAGAAGATCAAATTAATAAATTAAATGTCTTGCCATATTTGAAATTGTCTTAAAGGTCTACAGACAACTTTTTCAGATATCCAACATAAAAACGGCAAGAAAAGAAGATTAAATAAATAATTTAAATGTCTTGCCTTATTTTGCAACCGAGTAACTTCTTCGTTCAACTTTGATAACTCTTCCTGAAAAGCAAGTACATAAACTTGTCACCAGACAAAACAACTGCAACCATTTAAATTCTTTCAAAGAGCGGACACGCGAGTAATTAGTGAAATTATAGTATAAACCAATCCCCCAATTTCCACAAAATGATCTGACCATCAGCATTTCTTTATCGAACCCTGTATGTTAGACAATAATGCTTCATTTCCCATTATGGACAGAAATACACGCACCAACGCACACTGATAAATCAAAGCAAGTGTCCTCTTTTGCCGTACAAAGGAGGCAAAACAATAGAGTCATATAAGTCACCTTCATTAAGTGATTTCTCTTTCTTTAACCATCCAACAGCACTAAACAAAAATTAGCAATGAATTGCATTAAGTAGATGCACGTTGAACTCAATCATCAATCTCCAAAACATAATCCAAAACCACATGACACGTAAATCACAATTACTCCTTTCTTCTCATAGATCTTTGTTTCAAACGCCAAAGCATAAAAAGCAAAATTCAAAATCTTTTCAATTTCAATTGATAAAATGACATTCAAATTGAACAAAAATGTTAACGTAATATTACCTCATGCTCGCGTACTAAAGTCTGGCGATCCCAAACAACTAAGGTGCCGAAGACGAATACTATAAA